TTTCTTTGAAAGATAAGGTTGGGATTTGTGGTATTTTTTGAGTACTGTGTTAAAGTTAAATCGGTGATAGGTAAGGGGGTAAGCCATGGAGGGAAGTCTAATTTTGTGGATATGGATAATTTGAATTCATTGCAATTGAATCCTTTTTGATTGATTCTTTCCCTCAAGGGTTTGTCTTTATATTGTTTGTTTCTATACAAATTGGATGTAGGTGCGTTAATAATCTCAGAATATAATGGGTGCTTTTTATTGGAAGATATTCTTGCTGCATAATTTAAACTAAGTAGATGTCGTCTTAGATGTAGAGGGGGTCCTCTTGATATTACTTGTAAGCTGCTTAAAGGACTAGTTCTGAAGGCACCGACGGCTAGTCTTAGAGCTGTTGTTTGAATTGTGTTAAATTTTTTTAGGAACGTTTTATTTGCCGTATCATAGCATATTGCACCGTAGTCTAGTTTACTGTGAATAATTGATTTGTAGAGGTTAAGCAGAATACTGGACTCAGCTCCCCATATATTATTGGATAGAATTTTCAGCAAGTTTATACAAGTTAGTTGTAAAATCGTAATGTGTGTTTTCCAGTTTAATTTATAATCAAACGTTAGGCCCAAAAAATTCGAGTCCTCTGAATGAGATATATTTTGACCATTAAATATTAACGAAACAGGAATGGTATTCTTGCGTTTGTTAAAAACTGTGTAATTTGTCTTATTAGTTGAAAAAAGGAAGCCTATTTTGGAAGACCATTCTTCGATTTTGTATAGAAGGTTCTGCAGTATTCTAGCCCCAGATGTAATATTTTTGCATTTAATGTACACAACTAAATCATCAGCGTATAAGTTTGCTTTTATAGGAAACTTAATTGTATTTATTACATCGTTAAATGCAATTAAAAATAAAGTTGGGCTTAAAATAGAACCTTGTGGAACACCGTTGTCGAGTATTCTAGTGGTAGAGGTGTATCCATTTACTCTTACTTGTATTTCCCTTTTATTCAGAAAGTCTTTTATAAACGCAAGCATATGTCCTTGAATTCCCCACTTATTAAGTTTATTTAATATAAGGTATCTCCATGCTGTGTCGAAAGCTTTATTCACATCAAAAAAGACTGCTATAACTTTCTGATCTAGTAAGAATGCATCATGAATGGTTGACTCAAGTGCCACTAAGTTGTCGTTAGCAGATCTTCCTCGTCGAAAACCACTTTTTTTCCTCTGTTTTGTTTTTCTTAAGAACGTTAAAGGCGTGCTTGCTAGCAGCCAAGGAACGAGAGATTTTTTGATTCCACCAAGGTACCGGTTGCCTGATATACATTGCCTTATTGTGTTTTTATTTATAAAAAACTCATTGTGCCCAAGACTAAGATGTTAAAAGTCCTTCCCCCCTTTTAAATTTAATGTTTGTTTCGTCCCTTCTAAGTGTTTTCTGTTTTAGTGTGTTTTAAATTGTCCTTAATTGTTTTAATTCTAATATTTTATTTACTTGACTTTGCAATAATCTACTATTTTGCCAATAGAACTTTATCAAAGTAATTTGATAACTATAAGTTGAAAAATAATTGCACACCCACACAATTTGTACATCTAAACTTATTCATTGTCATAAAACTGTCACCTTCATAAAACAATTACTCAATAAATAACACACATTTCATAAATATATCTCTCGAATAAGTATAAATAACTTTTAATAATACAATGGTATATTATATCACTTTCATTTAACAAACAATCACACATATATCTCTTCTTCATTGGATCAAATCTATTTCCTCAAGAACTTCCCGTTTACTGTCAAACAACTACAATAGCAGAATTGAGTTCTCCATTCAACAATACATAGTAGTTTCAACCATGTTCTACCATCCATCAATTAATAGAGTACCGGCATCATTTATTTAACTTTGTATCGAGACCTGAGGATGCTTTGCATATTGTAGAAAGCGAAACCGGTCGTCTGATAGTTAAATTAAATTGATTGTAAGTCTTATTTATTATTTCTTTACCTATTTCCATATAATTTGGTATTTTTGGATCAAAATGTGCTTGTGCAAAATATGCCATATATGCCACAATATGCACTGTCGTGCAGAACTCTCTTTCATATATGGCACAATATGCGTACTGAACTAGGTATTTTTTTTTCTTTTAGATAATAGATTCAAAAAAGTTTTATGGTGAAACTCTTGTGGTTGTGGACATACCAGGTGGTAGTGAAGACGAAGGACTATGAGATGATGATATGTTTCCTATTATACTGGCGCCAGAGTCAGACTATGAAGATGATATATCATAGATAATAATGGATCAGATATTATTATCCCAGAAACGGATTTAGAAAGCAGTTCGGATAGGTAGCAAAGATGAGATTTCTTTGGACGAATTACGACGTAATCTAATAAAGAATAGAAATAAAAATCATAAATTAAAAACTGGAAAGAAGGAAATTTGGTAACATCAAATGATGATATAAGATTTCTCGGTTCTACTGACCTGCCACCTGAGTTGCAAGAAGCGGATTCCCCTTACGCATTTTCTGATTTTTTTTAACAAATGAAATGATCAAAGATATAGTTTATCGAACTATATTATATTCAGTGGGAAAAAGACCTCAATAACCTTTGAAACTTTCTGAAAATGAGCTAAAATAGTTCTTAGGAACCTATAATTATATGTCAATAGTGCAATTGCCAAGTGCTAGAAGTTATTGGAACTCCAGCCTAAATAATCGATTGATCTCAGATGTTATGTCATTCAATAGATGGGAAGAAATAAAACGTTTTTTTACATTTTGCTATTGCTGCCGGTAATCCTGGTTACGATAAACTTTTTAAAATCCGACTGCTACTAAATAAACTATAAGGAATCCGTTACTGAAAGTTCTGAAAGAGGAATTTTTAGCTATAGATGAGCAGAAAATTCCAACAAAAGAGCGTTCATCTATAAAACAATATATTCCGCAAAAACCCCACAAATGGCGATATAAGGCGTTTGTTTTTAGTGGCGTCAGCGGATTTTCCTACAATTATGAAATTTTTGTTGTTATGAAATCAAACTAATGTTGTAACCGATGGTTTTCCTGATTTAGGGGTAAGTTCAAATGTGGTTCTTCGGCTAACACAAACAGTCCCAATAGTTATACATCACAAAATATTCTTTGATAATTGGTTCAACAGCGTCCCATTGTAAATTTATCTAACGAAACAAGGTATGTTACCACTAGAAACAGTTAGAATAAATAGAATGCCACACAGTAATATGCCAAAAGAGGCTGAATTAAAAAGAACGGCCAAGGAGCTATGATAGAGTAAGTCGCCACAATTGATGGTACAAAAATATCTGTTGTTACATGGTATGGCAACAAATTAGTAAACATGTTATCAACATATGCTGGGAGTATGCTAACAGTTAAAGTTAAACGGTTTTCGAAAAAGGATAAGACACATATAATGGTTCTATGTCCAAAAGCTGTAACGATTTACAGCAAGTATATGGAGGAAGAAGATCTCCTGGATTTAATGTTGGGATATTATGGGATCAAACTCAGATCAAAAAAATGGTACATACGAAAATTTTTCCATATTATTGATTTGATCACTGTCAATTCATGGATTCTTTATAGAAGAAGTGACAATGAGCATAATAATTTAGCTCTGGCAGAATTCAAAATGGCAGTAGCAGAGTGTTTATGCAAAGTTAATAAAGTTGGTTTTACTACAAAAAGGGGTTGTCCGTGTGAAGCTATGAAAAATTTACAAAACAAGAAAAGAAGGGGTCCAGCAACCGATATTCCAATGTGGTTCGAAAAGCTTCATAAAATTCGAGAAATGCTTTGCTTAAAGAAAGATAGAAATTGTTTTTACAACATTCACACCGAATAATTATTATAATTAGAAAGTAATAAACGTCATTTTTTTTTATTAATTTTACTTATTGTGTGCCATATACGACACACACAAAAAATGTAAAAAAACTAACCAAGTAAGATTTTTTTTATATTTTTTTTTCATAGATTTTTTATAAAAAATAAAAAAAATCGGGCAGTAGGGGGTTAAAAATTTTAATTAGACATTCCCATGGGCTCCACCAGGATTATTTTCAGGCAGTGCATCTGCTTTTCAGTGGGATACATTTCCCTTGCACTTCACTGCCCGCGCTCTTGAGCATGCCACAAGAAAACAGTTTTAAGTCCCATTAATTTCACAAATATGTCTGAAATGTTAAATAATATAAAGGGAAGTCCATTGAAAATAACAATGTTGATGTCGATTTCGGGTATTACTCGAAATTATACCTAGCTGTAATTATTTAAGAGGTATAAAGAAATTACAGTTATGCGGAAGTGAAAATTTTAGGTTTCAAATACGATTATTTTCAGAGATAAATATAATGTAGAGTCTACATGAAACACCCTGTGTAGGTACCTAGGAAATTAAATATATTTGTATCCATTTTCTTTTTAGACGAAAAGTTTATTACCACAAAACTAATAAATAGGTATAAACTTAAATAAAAACAATAACAAATCAAAACATATATAACAAAGGTTATCTAAGACCAAAAAAGATGTAAGATAGAAAAGTAAATGAACTAGATACATTTGTATTTCTAAACACACATAAGAAAATTATATGAAAAAGTAAATGACGTATCAACTACCTACATGTTAACATAAATAGGAAATCCTTTAGTCAACAAATCACCTCCTAAACTTTTAATGCCGTTTACGGTATAATAATCATTATTCTATATTACCGCTTAATAATAATGGAAACGGAATACTCATACCTTGGCTCGTAAAATAACCAATTGAAAAAACTGAGTATGAACCGTTTAACTAATGTCCATTAATTTTGATTGAGGGTAACTTTTCAGTTTTGATAAAAAATAAAATGCGCTGAAGCAGTCCCGAAGTCCCGGTTCTTGGCACTTTGCCCATGGACAGCGTCCCCGACAGGTAGCTACCGAACTTATAAAAGCCCGTAACACACTCACTCCATCGCCCGTTTGTGCTCTAAACTTCTGTGACAATTTTGTGCTACTCTTAAATGGGGGCCTAAACAATATCGTGTCGTTGTTAACCTTTGATAATCCACCAAAGTTTTCGTCAAGTGATAACTACTGGGACCATTTTTGTGATAACAAGCGGTAAGTTGAAAGTGCAGTGTAGTGCAACATATCCTGGAGTTAAAAAATAGTGAGCTAAATATTGGATAAATCACCCTTTAGCTTGGAGTAAGATAAATGTTTTGTTTGTTTTGTATGCCGATGTAAATCAGTTGAAGGGTAACATAACGGTTATGTAATTTAAATTTTTTTTAAAATGTGCGAGAACCCACGTCTTTTCCTTCGAGCGCTTGCCAAAAATATGAAGACAAGTGTGCTATAACGGTAGCTTCTAGATTGGCATTTAGCCCAATACCGGGCCATTCCTAAAATAAAACAACTTTGTACTAATGTCGACGCATTTCTAAAATAATATCCCGATTTATTTCTAATAATTATTATCATTGTAACCCCAGACCTATTTAAAAGTTTGCGCTACCAGGGTCACGTGACACTTGCCTAGGTCCGTGGTCCAATAGGGTACGTCCACATGCCACATGCGTACCTCGAAACGACTGTAGAACTGGGAGAACTTGAAAATTATTTGCACCTTTGAAAATCAACGTTCGTAACAGAGCGTACGTTGAGCCCTGTTGGCACCCAGGGTAATTTCACATGATTAAAATATAATTTTAATTTATAATTATAACTTTTAAGAACCTACAAAATAAAGCGCATGTCTAGTTATATCAAGAACGTGGCGTTTGATACCTCGATTTCGATTCCGTAATCATCACCAGAACACGAAAGTAACGGAGTGCTTGGTGTGTAGTGCTTGAGTAGTGATAGGGTTTTTTGGAGTTTATTCAACTTTTAGAAACAAATTTTGTTAGAAAATGAAGATTTCGTGTGCCACAATCGATTGCAATAGTATATAATAATATTAGATTATTCAGATCTAGAATACTGGTTGCAAAACTGTGACAGTGCAAATTTTGATATTTTTAGGTTATAATTTGCTCATTAAACTTAACACGTTTTTCAAACATCTCAGCGGTGAGTAACATTAACTTCTGAAAAAATAGTTTAATATATTTTTTAAATATTCCCTAAAATATTGCATATATTACTTAAATATTTTACATTGCTAGTGACATTAGTTAGTTTCATAATATTTAGTGTTTATTGTACAATTTTTCTTTGTCTTATTTCTGTTTAAGTTCATTAATCACTAAGAAAGAGCAGACTGCAACAAACTATAACTGACTTGCACAAAAGTATTTAATATACAAATCCCACTACTTTTAAAAAGTTTGGAAAAAATATTTCAGGGACCTAAAGCCAATAATGAGCCAGTGATTAAAAATATATTACCAACAAGCAAATTATTTCCAAATCACTAGTAATCAGTGAATAATATTTAACGTGTGAAAATGTTATGATTAGCAACAATTATTCAAAAACAGCCCTATAAACACAGAAGTTATTAACTAAACATAACATTATTATGCCTACACTTTCCTTTCTGTTCATACAATTATAATGTGTACATAATACCAATTCCTTCAAGAAGATTAAATTATTGCTAAAGTAAAATTATTATATCTAAAAATTGACTTTAAAATAGGAGGGATTTGTTGCTTACCTGTTGTAGTAAATAACAAATCCTAATCTGATCTAAATAGAAATTACCATTTTCTAAAAGTTTTACTTTAAGAAGTACTGGAGAGGGTTGGTAAAGAAACATAACTAATCACCACTATACAAACAAGAAAACTGGAATATCTAGTCAATGTGATTGGTATCAATGCAGATTGATTGATTTGTTTAGAGCAACAAGTTCAAAAATAAAAATAGTCCTTATGATTGCCAATCTCTGTTGGAAGACTGCACTCTAAGAAGAAGAAAAGTTTTACCAACATAGGTTTGTTTAGATTCTTTTGAGAAATAATTGTGAATAAAATATTTAATCATACCCAAATAATTTCTTTGGCACAAAAACAGAAAGACAAGTCAGAAAAAGGGTAAGCCCAAGAAGTGACAAAACAATTTCAACTCTCTTTATAAACCACATAAATTAAAAAAGAAATCCGTGTATATTTAGGGGACAATAAACAATTTAAATCACAAAGCTATAAGTAAATAGGAGACATACTGTTGAAATATAGATTGTTCTATGGTGGCTTATAACTTATATTGCTGACCACTTTGTTTAAGTAAATCTTTAGGCTGTACATTTATTACCATGTGTAGTGGAGATAAATAAACTTTGTAAATTTTCAATGTGTTCCATATTGGATTATTTAACTAATAAATTTTTCTTGTAGAAGTGACAACTGGGCACAATGGAGGATGGTCACGCAAAAACAGTGGAAGAAGTACTGAGGTACTTTGACGCTGACCAAGAACGAGGTCTTTCACTTGATCAAGTCAAAAAGAATCAAGCTAAATATGGACCCAATGGTAAGTCATTTTTAATATTTTTTTAAATTAATATGTATTAATTATGGTTCTAAATTAATTAAATTACAAAGTATTACAAACATACCACAAGTAAATATGCGCTTATATTGTTAGTTCTTGTTCACTGTCAAGTTTATTATAATTATGCAATTTTTAATGTATACATTAAAATATACAGCAATTAGAAATTGACAACAATGAAGTATATTTCAAGTAAAAACAATTTAACAGTTGAAAATAGTTTGTAAACAATTAAACTTACAATATATTGTGAATGATATTTAGTTTATTTTTAAATTCAACTGTTTCAAATTGAAATTTCTTTGTGTTTGTGCTTTTTGTCACAAACAGACAAAACAGTCTTTAACCACATACATTTACTTTGAAGCTTTTCCCCACACTTCATTTTTCTAGGACTGCTTTATAATTTTATATCTAAGAAAGTTAGTAAGAGTTTTTATTACATTAGTAAAACTGCCAACTAATCATTTTATTTTTGTATATTAGGAATATTATCACACTTAGAATCTTATCTTTTATTGCTTTTCATCATTCTGGTACAGCAGCTCTGAGAAGAACATATCACTTAAAGTTTTCTATTCCCTTGAATTTTCTTTGGTGATGGAAAACAGTTTGGTAAGGAAAACTGGTGATCAATACACCAGTTTTCCTTACATTCCGATAATTTTTATATAGCTTATATCCAAGTTAAATTTTACCTTAAGTTAAACTTTATCTTGGGGTGAACACTGCTTAATGTGTACTGCATACTGCAGTGATATATTTGTTTCCAGAATTCAGCTACATCCCTTACATCTCAATTAGTTCAACTTGATTACTGTAATAATGTATTTAGTGTGTGTCTCATCCCCATACAAGCTAAAACACTTAACAGTATATATGTTTATTTACATTTTGTTCTCACAAACCTATTTGAAGGAATGTATGAATCTTTATCTTAGTTTTGTTATAATTATTCACTGTATTCAAATTACTGCATACTCATCTGGTCTAGGGCATCATCATCATGTAGCGTTTTTTTTTTTTCAAAAGTCTTGGTTTTCCATCAATCTGTTGTCCAGTGGAATAATCATTTTGTGGAGATCTAAGTGGATGTTGTCCGTCCAACACCTTCTAGGACACCCAATTGGCCTTTTGTAGGAACTTCCTCCCAGACCAGTTTTAAAGTTTTTCATTACTAAATCTATATGTGGTATATTACTAAATCTACTAAATCTTTTGAATAAATGTTTAAGTTTTTCTTCACTAGATTTTGGTCATCCATATGTTATTATAGGTTTCACAATGGATTTGGAGACTTTTTTATTTTCTTGTTAGGCTTTTTAATTTTATAAGCCATCCAGTGCATACATAGATTGGTTTGCAACATGGATTCTGCATTTTATTTCTTAAATGATGTTACCCTCAGCCATAATTATTGCTTCTAAATATTTGAAACATTCAAATCTTTCAAAAGTTACATGTTTTGACAGTGATATTTTGTCTAATTCTGTCCCTACAGCCTGTTCCGTTTAGTTGATTGTCTCTTCATCGATCTTAAGTCCAACTTTTCTGTTGCCCACTCGACTTTATTGAAAATGTCTTGTATGGACAGAAAAGAGTTTCTTATGAGATTGATGTCATCTGCATATGTGAGCAGCAACTTAAGACCTTCAGTCGCTAGTAGTTACGTATTTATTTTGTTCTCATTCTTAATGAGATTACAAATTAGCAGAGCTAGAGCTTCACCTTGTTTCTGTACATTGTTTATTTAAAAACTGGTGGATAGTTTATTGTTCACCATACTTTCTATACTCCACTTTTCCTACAAACTTCTCTAGGACATAGGGAGACAAAATCTTACACTATATTTCTCCTTTTATGTAAGTATATCTTTTACAGAAAACTTATGATATTTAAGTGTCATGTCAGTTCTGAACCATGTATGATGAAGGAATGGCAAAATGCAGTGATGTGAGTTCTTCTGTTGTTATTCTGCTTATTATTTGGAATAAAACCAGTAAATTTCATGATTACTAATTTTTATTACAAATATAAATCTTACATTTTAGTTATCATATATTCCACATCTTTTAAAAATAATTGATGTGCAATTTAACGTATTGAGCACCTGAAAATACATTCAAATGACCTAAAATTTAAGTTTACCGAGTTAGTATATATTTCATGTACTGCAAACAGTTTACAGCTAATCATGATAGTTCATACATTTTTATGGCAAGTTATTTTTAAATACACATAATCTTTAATAAAATTTGAAATATATTAGTATTAATATAATAAATTTCTCAAAATAAAATGATATTTGTGGAAAAATAAACTAGCTAACCCAAAATAGTTGTTGGAACTTATAATCACTGGAAGTTGTTGGCACTTAGTTTATGAAATATGATAATTGGTTTGTGAGCTTTAGATGTTTATTTTTTGAATTTATAGACAAGGATCTACAAATTAGTTTATGTTTACAACCAGTTTTATTAAATAAGTGTTACTAATATAATCTATAATGGGAATAGGAAAATGTAAATATTTTTCTTTCTTTTTGCTTATTTCATACCACTTTTTATATACCTTAAAAAAATTAATTGTTTTCCTTTGTTGTTTGTTTGTTTTCTTTGATGATTTGAGGTTCCTCTGGAGCCTTGTTATGCCAACAAATCTACTTGTTCATTCCCATTCACCCCTTAATGACCCGGCACACATATTACAGACACTTTATTGTCCATTACCAGGTTCTTTACAAGATCCTTTCAGTTTCTTGCCAGTTTTGATTTAGTGAGTGGGTTTTTATGCCCAGAATGGCCACTTGGCTATTTGTATAAATGTTGATTATCTTTGCTTTGGGGCCTCCATCCATGATTTCATCAATGTAGGCCACCAAAGCAAAAACTTCAGCCTGGAACTTAATTGTATATTTACCTAGACTGTAAGATTTTTTATAATTACATGTTTGCCCAAAGACTCCTGGTCCAGTATCATAGGCAGTTTTAGATCCACCAGTGCATATTAAGTTCCCATTAATGTTGGGACTTTTAGTTCTCTAGATGGTATAATTGTTTTAATCTTCTTAGTGATGATTAATTCTGGTGTCATCATCCAGAGTTCATCTGAAAGATGGATTCCTCAATTATAGTCCTACTAGTATTTATGTGAGTATTCTATACATAATTTGCCTTCCGAATATTTTTTGCTTTAACTCTTAGGTTGGTCATAAATGCTACTGCCGACATATATAATTCCAGTGGGAGAGATCTTTGATAACCTCTAAAGATGCCATTTTTGTACTATTTGAAGCTACTGGCATATTTCAAACTGCTTGTCTTTGTAAGATGGTGACACACAAGATATTAAAGTTATCTTTTTCCACCAAAGTACTGACCCATATGTAACTGTCGGTTTTATCACTGATGTGCATAACCAACAGATTATCTTTGCTTTCAACCCCCAGGTTTTACCTTCAACTCATCTGCAGTTCAAAAAGAGTCACGCCACCCTGTTGGTTATGTTGTTAATATGAGCATTCCAATTGAGATCCGTAGCTCATTTTGTCACTTCAACACTTCCAGATTTTGTCTCCATTTATCTTTTATATCTGCTTTTGTCTTTTTGACATTGGATTTGTAGTTAGCCTAATATTATCTTAATCTCTTAATGTATCGATTTGTTAGTGTACTAATGGCAGTTTAATTAAATCAATATATACTTTTAAATTGTTTATATTCACAATATCACATTATATTAAATTATTGCGATTGGTGCTTTTTTTGCCTCTCCAATATTTGGTTTAGTTTTGCTTTTTAATTCAATGGCAATGGCAACTTTAGTTGTTGGCTCACAGTCTAATAGTTAGTGAGATTGCCAGCCAACAATATAAGTTGCATATGCAGCAGCTCAAAATAGATATGGTTAAGATATACTTGTTACAGATATTACAACTTGCTTTTCAAAATGTTTTTGTTGATCTTAGTAATCAGTGCTACTTTAGGTCTAAAATATTACAATATTTTAGTCAGAAATCATGAATATGTTTTCAAAAGTATGCACGCGGATAATGTAATCTTCCTTTCGCGTTTTAATGCCAGCATATATCTAAATCTCTCCCATTCACGTCCGGTTCTGAAGGAAGTAATCCAATAGAGCTCCTCTGAAAATCTATTATGGCCGGATTTGACGAGAGCTTTGTGCGGTAAATTGCGTTTTACGATTTTACGTCCATACATCCACCACTAATTGTTCTAATAAAAGAGGTCACCCGTATAATAATGCCTGTAGTCCGGGAACGTAAATATTGTTTTAGAAAATCACCGAGAATTGCTTGTCCATTAGGTGGTTTATAAATTTTTAAATGTGTGACCCGTTTTCTAATTTCTGGTGACATAAATTATAGCCTTTAATACGTATTTACCCTCCGTCTGCTTTTTAATTCAATAATCACTATCATATATCTTAGATGTAGGTAGTTTATGAGTTAGTAAACTTAGCGTCAATTTTAATATTTTTCATCAGAAAGGATTCTATTCTTTCATACCTCTTAAGGATCCTACAGTAATTAGGTATTATAATACAGTGTTAATATTATAGTATATATTAATAGTTGAGTAGTTAATCTTAAATATTTCATTTTTTTCTGGTCGTTTTTTGTTTTAAAACTACACTTTCTTATCTGCATCTTCTTATCTCGAAAATATGCGTGTTACATTATTAGTTTGTGAAATACCTTCTTAACTCTATCAGTCTAATTGTAATTCTTTTGTGAGTTGTTCTCTTTCGATCTGTTTTCTCTGTTGGCTTCTGTAAGGCTAGCACATATTGTGATTTAAAAATCTCTTTAGCCTTAAGAACTGTCCACTCCGTTTTTTATCCAAGAAAGTTTTTTGTGACATTAAAGTAATCTTCGTCAGCATATCAATCGAAAGTACTCATTCATGCGTCGATTTCCTTTATATCAAGGGAAACACTGAGCTTTATCCAGTAATTTT